AAAGTGTTTTATATTAATTATTTTGCATTATGTACGTATCAATGTTGAAGAGTAGACACGGCTCATGAGCTAATCACAACAGTGACTGCATTCAAAGACGTATGTATCTTTCTTGGTACAAATTAAACTTGCGAGTTAACGAACTTAGTCAAATTTGAGACTTAATAAATCAAGAAAGAATACGAAATTGAAAAATACTATTTGCCGGCTTATAAAAGAGAATTACTGTAGTTTTCCGTACGAAGTTTGGCACTTCGCGAATCAAATTAATGTGCATGCTGTATATATTGGTTCTAACCGGTTGACAATAATGTAAAGTCAGAAACTAAAATCGTGTTACATTATTTCTGATTTCATGGTTGACTCTTTCTTCTTTCTCTTGGGTTCCAAAGAGCCACCATTGACGTAGAAGTTATAATTAAAGTCAGAATCGATCATCTAGCATTTCCGCTTTATGAAAGCTTGGATTATGTCTTTTGATCAAAAAAAAAAAAAAAAAGAAGCTTGGATTATGTCTCAATTATATGCATATATTGTTATTAAAAAAGGGGAGTTGAAATAATCGTATCTAGAAATTTCTAGCAATTTATTAGTACTGTTCATAAAACTCAGGAACTTAAAAATGCCTTGATTCTCGTAGAGAAAAATCTTAAAAAAATAATATATCAATGTGCCACAATAATTCTGCATGATACGACATGATATTGGATGTCTCTCAAGTTAATACCGTGGTAGTCACGGTATCGAGAACTTGTAAAAGAGAAGTATTAAAACAAATGAATAACAATGACGTTTAAAATTGCCAACTATTCCAACAGAAAATGTATGACAAGAGATTTACAAGGTTAGTCAAAATCAACAATTAATGTGTGCGAGACCAGAAATGCATGCCAGCTTGAGGCTAAATTATTGCTCGTGAAGCCCATGTTGATATAAAACGAGCTAGGTCTACGCAAAACCCTAATTAATTCTTGGATTACGATTTGTCACTGAGGCCACTAATTACTTTCTGATCATTAGATGTATGTATTAAAGGTCCAACAACTTAATGGTTTTCAATTTATCGTTATCAATCATGTAATTACCTTCTCAATTTTATAGGATTAAGAATTACGTGTCAGATTGTAAAGATTATTACGAAGAGTATAACACAAGATGATTATTATTAAAGATTACACTTTCCAAACCCTACTAACTAGTAATTACCTTGTTGATCGATCCTTGTGTCGATTTCAAACCACTCAAAATTGAACCTTTAAGGTCAGTTTACTTTTACCAAGTCATGCACCAAATAGTTGTGTAATCTGGAGTTGGCTTCTAAGCCACATAAATTGCGTTGGACCAATTCGCTAGCTAGATATCTGATTGAATTATCTCTCTCTCTCTCTCTCTCAAGTCTTTCTTTACAGGACAAAGAAGAGAAGAACATACTCACGTTATATGTCATAATCATGTAATCTTAATTAGCTTCCAGAAAAAAATCAATCCATCATTCACCATTAGGATCTGTCAATTTAATTCACGTCCGTCGACCTTAAATACTATTCCCTCTGTCCCAAAATTATTGTCCAATTTGAGATTTCAGTTTGAGTATAATTTGAACTAGAAATAAAAATTCAAACTGGACAATAATTATGAGACGGAAGGAGTACAACAATATTACAACTAAAAAGCTCCGATTTGATGTACGTAGCCAACTACATAAGGTACGCACACTTGATGGTTTGCCCAAACTGCAAATTGCACTTACTCTCTTCACGGAGACTTTGAATGGATCAACACCGGCAAATTAAATGGTCTGAAACCAATTTTTTTTTTTTAAAAAAAAAACCCGCCCACAATTTGACAAATTATTTATAATGTGGAAGGACTACTACATCTCCATAAACCCCTAGACTACGATTAAAAAGCACAACCTTATCTTCCAGAATTAACTCCAAAAAAGTGCCAACCAAAAAATAATTGAATTGAATGAGGAAGAAAACTAGGGGCCGGCCATGGATGGATAGCCATGTGCCACTCCAAATCGGTGCTGCGGAAGCCTTGTATTATTCATCATCATCATCATCATCTCTATATTATCTATAATAATTGATCGTGAAACACGCATGGTCGGTTTTGTGTAAACGAAGTGCTCAAAAGAAAGAAAGAAAGAAAGAAAAATCTAGCTTTTGACTGGTTTTATTTATTAATGAGTACTAGTATTAATGCATGCTAGATTACATGAATCTCACCTTAGTTTTGCTACATTAATGCGTGAAAATCTCCTTCAAAGTTTCAAACGTTTTTTAGGTCAATTTTGTCATGATCATCCCGCGCGTTAATAATTTTTTCATCTTATTAGTTGCTTTTCATTTTTCTCCTTATTCTTTGTTCTCTTTTTCTTATTCCGAGTTGAGTTAGGAAGAGAACTAGACTACCAGCGTTCATGAATGTACAGAAATAGCTAAACCATTGGAGGAGGATGCCTTTTTTGATTGAACCAACTACGTGCCTTACTTTCTTGTTTAGTCAATCATACAACATTTTTGTTAAGTGGATGCCTTTACAAGGGTGGGAATTATTATTATATACATAATATAATTACAACGTATAATTCACACCTTCCGTCTCTTTTTCTTTAAAAAAAATAATTCACATTTTTGAAATTTGTACTAAATATAAATTTGAATATATAATACAATATATATATATATATATATATATATAATATAGATTCACTTTTTTATGCGACTGAAGGAGAATATTACTCATTTACAAGGTTTAAATAGGCAAAGCTAAGGGACACACAAAATTTTTGTGGTGAAGGGTTAGATATAGACAAAGCGACAAACTAATGACTTTGATTAATCAAAAGGGTTACGATTTAGGAACCAAACCAAAGTAGAATAATAGTATCGCAATTAAAAAAGATTATTACACAATTAACTTTGTGTCGCTTTCCAAGATTCATTGCCTGACATCATAAGAGAAATAGATGCCACATTATTTTAACTGCAACCATGCTTAGCTTTGTCTGTATATATGTTGTTGGATTGAAAGTGAAGTTCCAACAGTGTAATGTTGGAGAGTGATTGGCTTAATTTGTGTGCAAATTAGTCAAAGTGAGTGTTAATTTTTTACATATATTTCTAGAGCTGATTGTGGGAAGTTAGTTATAGGGCTAAAAAAAATTGATTATGGTTAAAAAGAAGTAAAAAATGACTTGGGAGAAATTTCGATGTAGATGATGCTAGGGAGAGAACAATGATTGCTTTGTGGCAAAGTTGACCTCTCAGGGGTGAAACAAGACAAAGAGAGGAGACCGGAATATGGACAAAAAACAGGAAGGAAAATAAAAAGGAAAATAAAAACTTAGTTTATTATTGGACTAATGATTATTTTAGGTTTTAGTTAATATTTTGTTAATTATTGTAAACCTCCCAAAAAAAAAAAAAAAACTGTATATCAACCGGTGCATCATTTTCATTCCCCACAAATCATACCACTCTCATTATATAAGCAGGTAGGATCCGTAGACTTTTTGTTGATAATTATATATACTTGTAGTACTAATTAATTAGTGTACATGATTAATTAGTTTAATCATTCTTTATTAATTTAATTAGTATACAGTACATGATTTTCATATAATCATTAATTTCGACTAATTATCGAGTTTGCACAAGTTCATATAATAATCATCATAATTAATATTAGTTATGTGTGTGTGTGGTGGTTCAAGTTTGAAACAAATCTATTCCCTTGCCAAAGGAAAAGATATTAGGTTAGAATTTTGCGACTAAAAGTGAACGCATGCAATGAAAAGAGACGAAGGAATATGGCCATTTTAGAACATTTGTGTCGGCATGTATCTACTGCCTGGATCAAAATCTAAGAATTAACAAAGACTTCGATCTTTTTTTTAAAAAAAATTAGTATTATTCAACTAAAATATTTCTTTACCTTTTCTGTTTTAAAAAAAGTGAATAGTGATCAAATTTCTATGCTTTCATTCGTCTCAAAATGATTAATTTTTTTTCCCATTTCCTTAAGACGACTTAGTACAAGTTAAAGTGCAAAGCTAATTTAAGAGAAGAGGGATGATTATCTTTGGTTGATGAATTTTAAGAATATTCTAGTTGGCCTTAGCAACAACTGACAAACACTTATGATAAAAAATAAAAAAAAATAAAAAAACTGACAAACACTCATGCTTTCTCTACTGATTATGAATATTCATGGACCGCCTGAACCCTAAATCTCCGATTATAAATGGGAAGACCATGTTCATTAATTCTCCATTATCGAACTTGGAGTTGAAATTCGATTCTATTTTCTAATCATGTCCATGGAATTATATATATAATCTCTCAGATATGCCTTCCTTGATCTCTCTCTCTCTCTCTCTCTCTCTCTCTCTCTCTCTCTCTCTCTTTTCAGAGTCCACTGCCTTCAATTGAGTACTATCAACTAGCAGCAGGTTCCTGGAATTTCATATGAACTACTTTATTAATAACCATGTATAATCAAGGAAGTTGAAGAAATACAGAAAAAAATGATTTTGATGTATGAAGTATGAACTACTAATAGAGTATCTCACTCATTTTTTAAGGTTAATAATCTGTTTATGTACCACTTCATTTCTAAAGATTATTACTCCCTCCATCCCCCCCAAAAAAAAAAAAAAAAAAAAGAAAAGAAGTGAAAAAAATGTCCACACTACAAATTTGTGATTTCTACAGTTTTTAGTATACATTACAAATTAGAATGTGGATTTTTTTAAAGGACGAGTAATATAGTATAATTTTCGGGCTAATAATGAGGTTGATCAATTCACCAATAATGGCGCTGTGGCGCATTTGCACTGGAGTAATCCTGTCTGTTTGAGAAAACTTGACACTTAACTCCAAAATTGCTGAACGTTCGACTTTAATAGTTCACTTTGACATACTAATTTAGTTCAACAAACTATATTGTTTATTATTTAGGATGGAGGAAGTAAAATATAACTGCTGAAAGGCTCACAATAAAGCAGCTTAGGAAAACATAACCCTTCATTTTCGTTATCATTATACAGCACCATAATTATCGTAACAAAAGATTACAAACCTTTCTGCTGTAATGTCAGCAACAAAAGAAGTCGCTCGAATGCGTTGAGACTGATTAGTAAAATCAGTGCAGAATATATCTAAAGTTGGCTAATGAACATGTACTACTTGTACGAGGTGCACAAAATGCAGGACATTCCTCAGTGTACAACACATAACCTGGTATCCACAGCATACATCTGTTCTTTCAAATCTTTCTGTTTGTCTATCACATTTTCTCAGAGTCATCTTCAGATGTTACTGCAGAATCGGAGTCCTCTCCATTTTCATCCTCTGCCTCGTCCTCCTCGTCAATCGTCGCATGATTTGCAGTCATCTTGGACAAGGCTGCTGTCTTGCTTGCTCTCTGGGATCGCGTCCTTGTGGTGCTGCAACCTGCAGGGACAACTGAAGTTGGTGATGATTCACTATCAGAAGAGGATTCTTCTCCCAGTTTGGCTCGTCTGCGTCCACGAGGCGCCCTAACTGATCGAGACACTGGAGTAGGTGGAACCTCAGCGGATTCAACTTCTTCAAAGTTCATTTCAAGGTCCAGCTTCCCTGAAGTTTATAACCCATTTCATGTTATAACAAGACCAAAAGAGCTCTAAGAGAATAATGACCTAACACTATAGTCAATTGAGAAAGTTGATGTGGATTTCACAAGTATATTAACAACTCATTACCCAAAATAAGATTGGCCTCATTGGTGGACAACTTCTCATCGGGACATTTGTCAACTGCCTTTAACCGCCCTCCCATCATGTTAAGCTCCTTAATTAGCTCTCTTTCGGATACCATAGATTGAGCTACACAATTCAAAAGCAGCCGCAACAACTTTATTGGCACTTGTTCTGAGTCTTGGGACAAATTGCAACAAAGTAAGACAAGTATTCTGCAAAGTGCTACGACATAGGATTTCTCAGCAGCTGACTTATTGGAGCGAAAACCTGCAACCTTCAAGAAACACCACAAATAGATTTTGATATTCTATGTATCAAAAGAAAAAGAAGCCTGAGTTTTAGGTAAGTTTAAATATAGTTATGGCCATAACAGAAGGCATTCAAATTCTCCACTTTATTCTTAAACTCCAGTTTCTTCATCCCCGTTCCCCACTCTTACCTACCCGAGAAAAATACAAGGAAAGAGAAGTTCCACAGGACGGACTCATAGAATCAAATTAAAAGCTGAAAAACTATGAAGATCAAATGCTTATCTTTATTTGCTAAATTTGGCGAACCCAACGGCTCTTAAATCAGCTAAGATTTTGGAAATTCATGTCAAACAAGAGTAATAATCCCCTTTGTACCTTCATTATTGATCTTTAAAGTTATTTTAAACAAAGATACCATCAACCATACAAGAATTACAGCCTTCACTTCTCTCCACCCAAGTTAAAAAAGAAAGGTAAACCCACAATAAGATGAGCCCAGATTTGCATTGTTTACCTCTGCAGCTATACGTATCGCAAGTCCTTCCTCTCCACTCTCAAAATCAGTAAAACCATCTTTTGAATTCTCAATGCCAACTCCATCTTCAGGTGCATTGTCCTTTTTATACAATGGAGCTTGCATCATCTGCAACATAAAACGCGATGCTTGGGTAGCACGCTTTCGCATTTCTGCCACCGCAGCAGTACTCCTTTTTGTATTCTCGTTGATGCCTGGCCACAAGGAGCGCATAACTGGAATAAAAGCCTTTGACAAAAATTTCTGCACCACAAAGAAGGCATGAGAAATCTGTAAATTAAAATTGAAATGAGAAGCAAGAAACTAAACCATTGTTGTTCTAGTACAAGGCAGTTGATTTCTCAATGGAAATTACATGCCTTGTGATTCGTCGAAAGAGAAGGATAATGCTCAAAGAATACGGATAGACACTGTTTCAACCTAGTCATGAAAAAGAACCCTATTAGTCATCCTTGGGTAATACTACAAAAAGAAATTTATGGACAGGGAAAAGAAATACACCTTAATAGTTCACCATTATCACTGTGGAAATACAGGCAAATGACCTTTGCTAACAAAGAATGGGCTGATGCATGTATATCTGGATATTCTTCACTCAGCAAAAGTATCTTTGCAAAACCTTCCGCAATAACAGCTTGAACAGACTCAACCTCGTCACTCTCAACAAAGTCACCAGTGCCATTTATCTCAATTCCAGCATATAATAAATCAAGCAGCTCATGATCCAGAAGGCCACTAAGATCACACCAATTAACAGAATTGAAACCGTTTTTATTATCTTTAAGTTCTGATCTTAGGTCTTGATTGATGGCTTTGTCAATTTTTTGAGGACCATGCCAAAGTCCAAGATCAAGCAACGCCATGCTAGCCATAATCGTAATTGGTAATGGACCTTTAACATAAGAAGACCTTAACTGCTTAACCAAATCTTCACTAGGTTTCCTCTCCAGCAATCCAAAAAGGCCAAGGCATCTTATTGCAGCCCTCTGGACATCAACATGTGCATGCTTGGTCTGCATATTAGAAAAACAAAGCTACACTCAGTCTCAAAGTTAACAGTAATCAACAACCAAAGTAACATTAACAAATGGTGATTCCAAACTACCAAGCGATGTCAAACATACCCCAGGAAGCAATAAAGAGTGCAGAATTTCAACAGGTTCAATTGCTTTTCCCTGCATCAAACTATATGACTGTGCACTTTCTAAGAGAAGGCCAGCTACTGCAAGACATTGGACCCACTGTTTATAATCTGCTGTTCTCTCTCTGCAAGGCTGAGCCAACACCGACAGAATGCCCAATACCACTTCTTCAAATTCACCAGGTGCAGCATGAACCTGTCTGACAAACTGTGACACGGCAGCAGCCCAATCCTTGTCTCCACCTAGATTAATGCCATCTCCAATGACAACCTCATTTCCATTTTCATCCAGTTCATGATCAAGAGGCTTTTGCAGCAACTCTTGCACCAACTCACCAGCAACCTTTCTGTTTGTTGCATCAGAAAAATCAAGCATGGCACCAAGCAATAGTAGCTGGCGACATGCAAATCGATAGTTTGGTCCTGTAAAAAGCAAACAATCAGAAAATGCAAAAGAATCAATGGAAAACTAAAACTGTCTCTCTTTGAACTTTACTGACCAGCAACAAGATGAAATTTGACTAATTCAACATATTCCGTAATGGAAGCTGGAAGAACTTGGTCAAGAAGATCATTGGTGTCTGTTGCTTCAGCTGCATATACAGCAGATTCAGTTCCAGTTGCTGAAGCCGCATTAGAGCCCTTTGCCTGTTTGAACATTGATGAAATGCTTTACAAAATGAATATACTGAAGTGTTGACATGATAATAAAGGCTGTAAATGCAGACATATAACGCAATACAACAAATAGCCCAAGTCTTCCGAGTCTCAAAAGTTTAACACAGCCATGTTGACGAACTCTGATGCTAAAAGTTAATCCAAAAAAGAGAAAAGAAATCATCTGTATCTTACTTGTGCTTGTATTTGGAGATGTTTACAGACTGTTCTCCAATACAGAGAAACTTCAGGTTCCATTAGCCGAAAATTGTTGCCACAATGTCCTGATTTTAAGCAGGAAATCAACTGGTTAAATGAATGAAATAAAAGCTTTGTTTAGCAGCAAAGACATTAAAGCACTTAACAAGCTAGGGTTCAACAACGAATGATTCCTAGACATATGTGGCTTCTTCAGGACTCTCAGTAGTCACTCTATCTTGATAATGTTAAAATTCTAAGTCCCTCATCCTTTTGAACAACTTTATGATCACGTACAACAGTATAAGCTAACTGGATAGAAGTAGAAGTATCTAAAGTTATCCATGTTTTTTACTAATGCTGTGGCAAACCAAAGTGACAAGATAAATAAATGATGAAGAACCCTTTCACCTATATTGGATACCCAGTCAAAATCATTTAAATAAATTGATTTCTGTTGATCTGCGATCTTAGGGGTGTTACTCATGCTATGTATTTTTGTTGATCATGCTAAAATCATTCGTACTGATGGAGAAAAATAAGTAGAATATCTTACTAGATAGGTGCTTAATTATCTAAAGCTTTCACTTAAAAGAACCTTCATGGATGTAAACATAATCCATTGCAACTCAAATAAACTTGATAACTAAGTCTTATTTGACAAACTTTGACCTCAATGTAAACCGGCTGCCTGTGAAAAAAATGGGTTATGCAAAGGACAGTACAAGCATGATCTCCAAAAAAACAAAAGACACCATAAGATTGCTTGGTACTCTCAAACACAACTGTGCCATGTAGTATGTACCACCTTCTGTTGAGTCACACTTTGATGTTATGTACTGACGAAGGCCATGAATGTCTTCTAACTTTACCAGTCCTCCTTTTAGAAGAGCGCCCATAACAGACTCACCAACCGCCTCATAGGTTTCAACATCAAGATATTTAAGAAGTTCAATGGGGTCATCATTGCAAAATTTAACAAGCCACTCATCCTTCATCAGATTAAAACACTCCTTTACAACAGCAGTGGAGCGATCAGCAAGTCCCCTTTGGAGAATAATTGTCCTAAGCTTGATGCTTCACAAGGAAAGAAGGCCAAAAGAAGATTCAAATGTAGGAGAAACTTAAATATTCATGAATTTTTTAAGCTTACTTCAACACTGATATCATTGTAACATCTCATGAAATAACTTAAATACATACTAAAATAACAAAGTTACTTCAGCCAATTATGGTGTGCATAGTGTCATTTGTCCAAATATGTTTATGGCAGCATTTTGGGAACTGTTCCCCAATTCTGGATTGGTGATATGTTAACTTTCCAGTCTCAAAACATAACCAAATCAATGGAAGGTAAAAAAAACTATACTGTACTTTCTAGATTCGATAGAGGAGCCTGAACAATTAAATAATTATGAACTCAAGAAATTGCTGCAGCTGAGACTTGATATTACCTAAGACTCTGCAGTGGGAATTTGCTCGCAAGAACACAGTAAGCTGCCTTGCGTACCGATTCACTAACATCCAATGTGCAATCAATAACTGCAGCTAAAGTTGCATTCGAAGGAGGCAATGATAACACTATCGTCCTACGAACATCCTGGATCAGAATATAGAGTTAAGAAACACAAGAAAGCTAATTTTGGTTGGTGTAGTTGTATACAAGAAAACATCAGGTACACAGATCTTATTGAACAAACTCTTCTTAGAATATTCCTTGCGCCACAAACTATTATCTTAAGTTACCTAAACTTGTGAGGCTAAAATTTGCACCAGATTTCCTAACATTGCCACTTTTGTGCAAGCACTAGTTACATAATTCATTTCTCTATTGCTAATTAGCAGTCTGGCATATGTTTAAGAGCAGAAAAAAGTTTGATGCAGAAATTCAAACTTATTAGCAGAGTGGAAAAGGTACTATGCAACCAAATGAGTAACAATGAGTTATCAGGAGCAAGATAAGAAATTACCGTATTCTGTTCGAGAGACAGTTTCTGAATGAACAATTCTAGAACATCACTATTATCTGAATCATTCAGAAAGCGCGAAAGAGCCCTAACAGCAAATGCACGAACTGCAGGGATCTTGTCATTTACACGAACCTTCATACAGTCTATAACCTCATCCCACAGTTCATCACTGACTTCAGCATCATCTGGCAACCGCATTATGATCTGCAAGATGGAAACTTTGCAGTCTGAGAAGCGGGTCGAGAAGGAACCCAAAAAGTTATTGGATAGGAAATTGAAACCGATCCACCATAAAGGAGGTTTTGTGTACAAATCCTTAAAACAAAGGGGGAACACGACTTCGTTCAATACAGAAAAGTTTTCTGCTTCATTAATGTGCAAATCAAGCCGTGTATCTACAGCATTAACAAAATCACTCGGATGACATAAATAACACAAAACTTGAAGGCACTAACCGAACATTGTGCTATCCAATTTCTTTTCTATACATTTATATTAAAACTTCTCTTCTGCTAGCTTGAAGTTTTACCTCCCGGCAACTAATTTTACTTTTTTACCAATTCTAAATCTCCCAACAACAGAAACCAAAGAAGAGAAAAGGGAATAAAGGCTTCCTCAACTTAGCACCACCTACAGCTCTCACCAAAGATATGAACGCAAGCTAAAGCCCTAAATAACATTGAACGAAACAAGAATTACAGACGATTTTCTCAAACAGAACACGAATTCTCACCAGGTTTGTGACCGAAAGTGAAATCTCCAGAGAACGAGTGTGCATTAACTTCCAAAGGAGAGAAAATAAAGGCAAAATACCTCAGAAACTATCTGGCAGGCTTTTAGTCTAGCATTCTTGTTGGCCGCCCCAGAAGCCACAAGCAGGAACCTCAAAAACCGCTCCAAGAAGTCATCAGTGAGCGATGAATTGGTATCCTTGTCAGAGCGAAAAGTGGAGAAAACGGAAACAAATCTGATAATTCGTTCGGCAGAAGCACTCCTGCGACCGAAGTCAAATAGAGGAGTTAATGCTTCCGAAAATGCCGCAAAGAACGCGTCCGGAGCAGAAGCCGATGACCGTAAGAGATTCAACAATTCTTTGAGCTTTCGATTATGTGTCGCCTGAGAAGCTCGAGCTTCGTCGAGAACCCTAGCAATTTTCTCCTTCAACAAATTCCGGCCAGGCATTTCGTCTTCCTCTGTGGAGTGAGGCATGGTAGACGAAACTTGCACGAGTTCGTTTTTTTCCGTATAAAACGATAAGCTTCGGCCAGTATCTCAATTCATATGACGGAAAAGGTGAATTGGCGGCGTAGATTTGAGTGAGTAACGGTGTGTCGCCGGAGGAATCTAATCGATTGCCTTCACTTTTGAATGTGTTCAAAAGTTCGAGCGGGAGAGTAATAGAAGATCAATATAGTTTCGGGATAAATTGGCTTATGAGATGGGCCGGTTGATGGAAAGCTAGCCCAATTATATATGGGCTAGTTCCATCAATATTCTGAATTTTTCACCTTTTTTATCGGTAAAATGGTGAAATTAGACCTTCTTAAAAATAAATTGTGCTAATTGGTAAAATCGTTTAGGCCCTGTTTGGTTGCATGAATTGGGACCAAGAATTGGAATTGGAGCTCTTTAATTCTAATTCTTGTGTTTGGTTGGTAAAAATAGCGGTCCAAAAATTGGAATTATAATTCACGATGGGGCTCAATTCTATATTTTCAATTCTTTTGTGGGAGCAAATAATTAGAATCCAAATTCAATAACTTAAAAAAAAATACATGGGTCATAACCGGGTCGTTTCCGGGTTATAACCTAAACGGGTCACCCTCTCAATTTTTGTCTTTTGGCCTTTTATATTTATTTTAATTTTATAGTTTTTCAACTTTTTTCTTTTTCTTTTTTTGCTTTCATCGCTTTTTTTTTCTTTGTTTTTCTTTTGTTTTTGGGCTGTTTGTCTCATTATTATTGTTATTATTATTATTATTATTATTATTATTATTATTATTATTATTTTCATATATATATATCATTTTAATAATTATCAACTAAATCAATCTGTAATTAACATTGTATTTTTTTTACAAAAAAATTAAAATTATAGCTGTATCCCAAAAAAAATTAATAACTAAATATTTTAGTTTTTGGTTAAATTTTTATTATTTATGACATAGTAAACAACATAACATTTTCAATTTTTTTTATAAAAATCGTTCCATGTATACACCTATATTATAATACATATATATATATATTAAACTATTGATGGCATCTTTTCACCAAAAATTATGTAAGTTGAGTTTTAAGTATCTATTATTTCATAGGAAAATGATATATTTAGTGAAAAAAAATAGTGAAAAAAGATAGTGAGGGATGTGACTTATTCTTGGCCGCTAACTTTTTGCCACTTTTCCGTTAAAATTTTATCTTGCCCTAAAGAATTATATTTTTACCTTTTATTAATAAATACACATATTTAGTGAGGATGGTGTATTTGTCCTTTCATTAGTCACTATAATTTTTCATTGTAATTAGTCACTATTTCTATCATTGCTCTATTTCATATATAATTATATACTAGAATAAAAACATTTAAGCATATATTATATACTAATGTTAATCTATGTATAAATGAACCTCAATATTCATAAACTGAATTTACAATGTTATATAATAAATTTTTTTAAATTTTTGATATAAATCAAAACATAAAAAATTAAAAATTTTGAAAAATAATAAAAGCGAGGAAAACAAGGATGTTTTACGTGTTACTTGTTTGTGTATTAAGTGAGAATTTTAAGTATCGTATTAATAATTCTTATACATAATAATATTTCTTTTGTTTCCAAAAAAAATGTGTGTACATAATAAATTACAAAATTGATATAGAAAATTAATTAAAAATAATAATTTGTTTTAACAAAAAAAAAGTAAAAATTGTATTAGTTAAACAACCACAAAGTAGTCAAATATATATGTATATAATGAATTTATTTATTTTTTGTGTTATACATATATCTATAATAAAATAAGTTTTTTTTTTTAGTTTTTGACAAGAAGTATAAATTGTAGTAGTATTAGTTATACAATAACAAACTAATTTCAATTCTAAAGTATCCAAATTTTTATGCATCCAAACACAAGAATTGGAATTAGAACCTTAATTCTTGTAAATTTTCAAAATCTCCCAAACAAAAGAATTGAAATTGAATTACAATATTAATATCTCATTTTCAATTCAATGGTATTGTAATTATAATTCAATTGAAATTCAATCTAACCAAAAGGAGCCTTAGAGACCTTCTAAAAATAAATTATGCTAATAAAGGTCTACAAGGAAATGGTATTGGATTTGATGAGCCTGGTTTCATTTTTTTCAGGTTTGAACTTTAAAGAGTCTCTTCGATAGATTAACATAAAGAGTCCCAATGTACTTTAATTAAAAATTTAAAATATTTGTACTAATAATTATATAAAATTAAGGGGTGCGACCACATTTATATATTCCTAATTGGCTAATTCTGTCACAGCTCAAATGCTGCATATTAAAAAAAGAGAACCTTGGCGTTTATTTGCCAAAACTGACGCCTTAAGAATCCAAAAAACAAAAAGCCAAACTAGCAAAAAGCATTCAAATACTTTATCACGTTTCTAGGTTGGAAAAGTGGATAACCAAGTAGTTTGGGAAAGATGTTGCTGCCTTTTTCTAGAATGCAGGAACCAACTTATATAGGACTCGCATCATCATCCCATGAATGTATGTTTCTGGCTGCTCTGTGTGTGTGTGTGTGAATCTGATTCTATTCCCCCCCTTCATATTCCTAATCGTTCTCCATCTCTATAAATGACTCAGATTTCATTAAGCTTTTTTTCACCCATGACAAATGTTGGGTCCAAATAGGATTCACACGATTGTGACATATTTGTTTGCGTGACATCTTTCACGATGATCTCATCTCATCCACTCTTTCTTTGCTCATAAAAGGCTATATATCTTACAAAAAGTTTGGAGACGTACGCATGTTAACAGTAACATAAATTTTAAGAAAATACTGCTCCTTGTTTATTTTGAACAATGCAAAAGCAACCAATTGTACATATATTTACACTCAACTCTCAAGGACCGAAAATCTTTATTGTAAAGCTATCAACACCTAACCTAAATATACGAGCATTTTTTGTTATGTATCTTTGGAGTTTCATTCACGTATTGGCAGGAAACTACGCGACTAGCATGGTAATCGCCTTAACGGAGGCCATGGTTTTTTTTTTTTTACAATAACAGAGATTAAAGTCTAAATAACAACCACACTTCAAAGGCGGATATTCTCAACTATATGTGTGAATAAAAAAATGTCCTATCACAAAAATAACAAAAAAAAAAGAAATATTCCTTACTACCATTCAACGTGTTTAAAACAACACAAAAACAAAAAAAGAACAAGAGTTAATCTAACATTTCACATGCGAAAGAATTCCTAAACGATGTTTTGGCTACGTACGTAGTCCCGATCTATATATATACTTGTGATGTCTGGTCGCACAGTGCGCGACCCTGGCCCAGTCTATCTGTAGATCTTAGAAATATTTATATTTGAAAAAAATAAAATTTTGTATTTGTAGCGATATATTTTAGAAATGTTTGAAGGATTTATAAATGTTTTATAAGTGTGATCATAGAAATATTTGTATTTCACACACAAAAAAAAAAAGAAATTATATTTCGCCATGTATATTTTAGAAATGTTTTATAAGTGTTACTTATTAAATATAAATAGCCTTAATCAAATAAATGTGTTGAAGTAAATGTTAAATAAAATATAAAAGCATCCTAATAAATTTAAATATTAGTAAGATGATTTATTGATGTTTTCCATTGGTCGTGCCAAATTAATACTTAGTTTTGGAGATTTTTAATAGTTTTGTAATAAACTTCATCCGAAGGGTATACGCTTAAAACAAAGTTGACACTTTGTAACAAAAACCTAATTGATCAATTCAATTTAAAAAACTACTCTAGTTGAATGAAACATAAAGAAAAAATAAAATAAAATAAAAACGTGTCACGTAAAGTGGAAAGGAAAATTTAGTAATTTAGTTATGGTTAGACAAAAGGGCAATTTAGTACTTTCTACATGCCACGTGGCAATCATATGAGGTGTTTGAAAGGGGGGTTAATTTAGTAATTTAGTTATGGTTAGACAAAAGGGCAATTTAGTACTTTCTACATGCCACGTGGCAATCATATGATGTGTTTGAAAGGGAGGTTTTTGTTTCTAATATAGTAGGATATATATATATATATATATATATATATATATGTGTGTGTATTGTATAGATCATCTCTAACTTGAAACTCTTCCAATCATTAATTTTAAACTTTTGTTTGTTTGAAAATGAATTCATTAGCATATGTTTACCAATATATATGGCACAAATCATCTCTCTCGATGTACATACATATCCATCTAGCGTCTATTCTTTACTTATTTAAGTGTTTAATACCTTTAAATAAATTGTTACATTCTACGGTTTTCTCCATTTACTCTTCAACAATATAGCTACAACGCTTCGCCATCACATGTGGAAAGACTACAACTAAAATTTCGGGCAAGTTGTAGTTCTAGACTTCTAGTGATTGAATGTAAGTCATATAATTTTTTTTTTAAGTAATATGTTTTTATAGTTGGAAGTCATAACTTTTTTATTATTTTATTAATTTAGTTTCTTATACCTATTATTTTAACAAAGTGGCCTATTAAATGAATGGATGAAATATTACCCAACTTTTTCTTATCTTTGTTGTAAAGAAAATGTACATTAGAAACCAAAGGGATTGTTGTGGAGTGGTAAGGGTTGGAAATGAACTATTAATTTGAATGACAATTACTTTCTTATAGATTGGAAAAGTTAAGTTTATACTATCAGATTTAGCTTGACTCAAGTCGGGACACAAATGTCGGACCGAACTCTCGTGGACCTGATCAACCCACGTTTGCTCTGTCTGAGATTAATTTTCCAATCAAACTCTCGTGGACCTAATCAACCCACGTTTGCTCTGTCTCAGATTAATTTTCCAGTCAAATAATAGAGAGACTTTTGCTGCTAGAATTAATTCCAAACGGTTTTCATTTAATCCGAATTTGACCGGATTACCAATGGTTATGAGGGTGTTAATGAATATAATATTTTATTTAGTACAGGAATTAATTTGCTGCAATAAAACTAACCGTTCCAGCTTTGAATTTGTGGATTAATTCATTTAAATAAGCAGAATAAATGTATGAGTAGTTATAAATATTTATACATTTGACTCACAATTATTCAGTTACAATTAAAGTGAATTAATACGAGAAAATCGTTAGTTTTCCAGCTGAATTCAAAGGGTCTATTCGTGATATAAATAGTGGCTCATTGTTC